CCCCCCCCCCCACTTGTGCTCCACTTGGCTGGCCTCCACAGGGCTTGAAGGAAAGTCACAACATTTGGATTGCCACTTATCACACTCAGGCACGCAAGAAATTAAACCTCCGTGGCCTCAGGTGAATGCTCTGTTGGTCAGGGCACTTTGCATTTCAGACTCATTACATTGCTGTTCTGCTCTGCTTGTCTTCGACTTGGAGGGGGTGGGGGGGCAGCGGTGGTTGTCGGTGCAATACATGAGCAACATTTCAGGAATGAGGTCCTGAGTAATTATCCTGTTCCAGTGATTGTCCAGTCCCCGCTGAAGATATGAGATCAGCTGTAAATATACGTAGGGGGGATGAGCTGTTTATTCCAAGGCCAAGATTTTATACCACGCTGGATAAGTAGAGCAATCTTAGAAGTCGAGAGGATCAGTTTGTGTTCACCAGCCTGATCTTTTCTCACAGTCGGTGCACAACAGAGAAAGCTCCTGGTCTTGGCGCATACAGAGCTGAGCGCCGTCTCCCCAGAAATCAGCTCACAGTCTTTATTCTCCTAATACATTATTGAAAGCTATTTTTGCAGCTGCACTCCAAGAACAAAGGTATTGCGGTTGTCACTTTCAACTTCACAGACAGAACTGGGAGGATATTTTGGGAATCTTTTTTCTTTTCTCCTTTTTCCTCTCCCTGAAGTTCCCCAAGACTTGACTCCCCTCAAGCAATTTTTGTCTGAGCATCTGCCAGTATCATAAGTGTGTGTCGAAAGCCTTTTGTTATCATGCTGTTCAAAAAGGGCCATCACAGGTTTGGAATACACCCATTATACTCTGGCCATTTTTGCACCAAAGCAAATTTAATTATGATAATAAGACTTTTTCATTTTCATTCATGAGTTAGATTTTTTATTTCCCTTTCATTTTTTTTTTTTTTTTGATCTTCAGTTGCATTTTAAAAGATGATTCGGACTCATGTTTTCCTATTTTATCTCCTCCCTGCTTGTAGCATGCAGCACTGGCAAACACATCAGTATGTTAAATCCAAATTGCATGGCTGAATTATCACACACACACAGACACACACATACAGACACACACAGACACACTCTCAAACCATACCAGACTTCAAATTTCTTGCAGAGTTACTGAGATGTTACACTGTGACTGTGCAAGTCTGGATTTTAGGTTACAAATCCTCAGAGCCCTGCAGACCAACCAAGCGAGACCCTGAGTCACCAACTGCATTGTGTGTGTGTGTGTGTATGTGCTAGGAGGGAGTGAGACTGTAAGAGAAGGGAAAACTCAATTAATGTCAGCCTCCCACAACAAAGCAACATCCAGCGCCGTTCTACGCCAGGCATAAAATTAAAACATCTCTCCCAACACAATATGTTTTGTTTTTTCTCCACAGCAAATAGATTCAGTCTGCAACCTGCGCTCATGATTAATTGCACAACAATTATTATGCCTGTCAGTTCACAGTGGGGTTAGGCCGAAGACGTTAGTAAGTTTCTCCCTAAGCTAGAGGACGCCTGAAGAGCCTGTTAGAGTCGTCAGATGAGCCCATGGAGAAAGGATGTTACCTGATAGATTTTACAGTACAGTATGTCCCAACAACCTTGGGGCGCATTCCCAGATGAACATACATCATTGCTTTTCCCTCTCAGACTGAACACTGACCAAGCTGGTGGAACCAGTGGAGCCGCTCAGGGGCCAGTAGCACCAGTGGATTTACTCAGCAGCTTGCAAACGTGTAAACACACCCTCCACCTGCCATTATTCTCCCAGACTGTGACGGAAAAACAAGTGTGATCTACAGTAAGTGAACAGGAAAAATAAAGGTTATCATCCTTTTCAGGAAAAGAGCTGGTGGCTACGTGCATTGTTGCATTGTCTGTGAACGGATGTTTGTGTTTATGCTGAATTTGAGCTCACTCGATCTAGGATGTTTAAGGACAATACCAATAATGACATTTGAGCTAAAGAAATGGTTTTGTTTACATATTCACTTTCAGTCCGAGTTAGATGAGAAGATCAATCAAGATCATCTGTACCCTAAATATAAGCAGCTGATTAGCTTAGCATAAGCCCCCACAACAAACTTGTGATTTTTACAGTTTGGTTTTGCAGATTAAACAAGCAAGAAATGATTTAACAAGTTTTAAAGGTTGCCTGATGTTGTTACCTTCTTTCCACATTTAAAGGTCCAGTGTGTAACATTTAGGAGGATCTATTGGCAGAAAGGCAATATAATATTCATAGGTATGTTTTTATTAGTGTTTAATCACCTAAAAATCGTTGTTGGAGGGAGCAGGTCCTCTTCTACAAAGTC